CTCGGCCGCTCCCACCACCAAGCTGTTCATCGACGGCAAGTTTGTGGAGTCCAAGACAAAGGATTGGATCGATGTGCACGATCCGGCCACCAACAAGGTGGTAACCCGCGTGCCAAAGACCACCAAGGACGAGATGCAGACGGCGTTGGAGTCCAACAAGCAGGCCTTCCGGTCCTGGAGCAACAAGTCTATTCTGACCCGCCAGCAGGTGATGTTCAAGCTGCAGGCCCTCATCAAGGAGAATATGGGCAAGCTGGCCAAGAATATTACCAAGGAACAGGGTAAGACTCTGGCCGATGCCAAGGGCGAAGTCTTGCGCGGCCTCCAGGTGGTGGAGCACTGCTGCAGCATTCCGTCGCTTCAGATGGGCGAGACGGTGGCGAATGTAGCCCGCGACATGGACACCTATTCGCTGGTCCTGCCCCTAGGCGTCACCGCCGGCGTGGCTCCCTTCAACTTCCCGGCCATGATTCCGCTGTGGATGTTCCCAGTGGCCATCACTACCGGCAACACCATGCTGTTGAAGCCCTCGGAACGTGTGCCCGGCGCCACAATGCTGCTGATGGAGCTGCTGAACGAGGCCGGCTGCCCACCCGGCGTGGTAAACGTCATCCATGGCCAGCACGACGCCGTGAACTTCATTTGCGATGCGCCCGAAATCAAGGCCGTGTCCTTTGTGGGTTCCGACCAGGCTGGCAAGTACATCTACGAGCGGGCCGGCAAGAACGGCAAGCGGGTGCAGTCCAACATGGGGGCCAAGAACCACGGCATCATCCTGGCCGATGCCAACAAGGAGAAGACACTGAACCAGCTGGCGGGAGCCGCCTTCGGTGCTGCCGGCCAGCGGTGCATGGCCCTGTCGACGGCCGTCTTTGTGGGCGATGCCCAGTGCTGGATTCCCGATTTGGTGGATCGCGCCCAGAAGCTGAAGGTGAACGCCGGCCATGAGCCCGGCACCGATGTCGGACCCGTGATCAGCGCCGCCTCTCGCCAGCGCATTAACGACCTGATCGAGTCCGGTGTGAAGGAGGGCGCCGAGCTCATCCTCGACGGACGCGAGATCTGTGTGCCCGGCTATGAGGATGGCTACTTTGTGGGCCCCACCATCCTGAGTGATGTCACGCCCAGCATGAAGTGCTACACCGAGGAGATCTTCGGTCCTGTCCTCGTGATCCTCAAGGCCGACACCTTGGACGAAGCCATCGGCATTGTGAATGCCAATCCCTATGGCAACGGTACTGCCGTTTTCACCACCAACGGCGCCGCCGCTCGCAAATTCGTCAACGAGATCGATGCCGGGCAGGTGGGCGTCAATGTGCCCATTCCGGTGCCCCTGCCCATGTTCTCCTTTACCGGCACACGTGGCTCCTTCCGCGGCGACCACCACTTCTACGGCAAGCAGGGCATCAAGTTCTACACGCAGACCAAGACGGTAACCCAGCTGTGGAGCGAGACGGACGTGAACCACGCCCAGGCGGCGGTGGCCATGCCCACCATGACGTAGATGCGGGTGTGGGATCCATGTCGAGCTGTTCCGCGTGTTGAATTTCTGAATATATGTACTGGACGAATCGAAAATTTTACAATATTTCAACTTGAAAAAAATATAGAAAAATATGTCATACTTTCCTTAATAACGTTGGGTTCAATCAACATATCCTGGTTTTCTTTGCATTAATTATAAACAAATATTAAGACAAGAAAAAATAAATTCCATTTATTATTCATTTTTGTAACATATATTATATATTTGCATGCGGTAGCAATTTTCAAAGCACATTCATTTTGTTAAATAGTTTTCTGTGTTAGTTTTTACATTGCTTTCAGAACCTTGCGGAAACGGTCCAGGACAATGTTTGCGTGGTATTCCTTGAATACTAAAGCTGGGCGGAATCGAATGGAAATTTCCCCACACCCTCCAGTTTGGATGCCGTGCAACTTCAAGGCTCCAATTATTTGATCTCGCACCTTGGTATTGGTGCAGTTGACGGCCAAAAATGTGCCACGCCCGCGTGTCGAGTTCAATATGTGTGGGAATTCCTTCTCCAAGCTCAATAAACCATTTTTAAGAACCTTTCCGGCCACATTGACATTGGCCAAGAGATTATCCTCCTGGATTACTTTAACAATTTCCTCCAAGAGCAGCACTTTTCCCGGATCTCCCATCCAGGTATTGAAAATCCTGTACGGCTCATTGGGAATAAAGTCGTCGTTGTGGAAGTAACCACCCAACTGCAGCTTCTTGCTGAAGGTCACCACATCCGGGGGACTCTCCAAGTTGAAATGCTCGTGAGCCCAGAACTTTCCAGTGCTTCCTCCTCCAGTTTGCACTTCGTCGATCAAGAGGGCAATGCCGTTCTTCTTGCAAATGGCCTGCAGGCTTCGGAAGAATTCGGGCGAAGCTTCGTTGTCACCTCCCTCACTCTGAATTGGTTCTACCACAATTCCGGCGACGGGAATCTTGCTCGAGTACTGCTCAATAAGATCCTGTACCTCGGCTAGGCACTTTTCGTCCTCCTTCTTGTTGTGCTCTACATTTTCTTCCAGAGGATATTTGTACTGAGGGAATGAGGCAATCGGCCAATCGAAGGAAGGAACATCTAGTTTATGAATATATTTCGAATGTGTGGTGGAAAGTGCCCCTAGGGTGCGACCATGGAATGCTCCTTTGAATGAGAGAATACTAAGCTTAGGAGCTCCTGGAGGAATGTTGATCATGCAAGAGGTTTTCTCTTGCTCTGTGAGAGGAGTATTTCCACGTAGTTTGTTTTGGTACCTTAAGGGAAATATAAAAAGTTGATATTTTAATTTATACAGGAAAGCTCTCAATTTAAGTTAGTTAAAAATCAATATAGTAACTCACCATATAAAAATACTCTTGTAAGCATTTTCGTTTGAGCAAGAGCCGCACATCATAGTGGTGATTTTATTAAGACCTTTTGGTGCAATATTCATTAAAACAGAATGCAATTTGTCCGGCCATTCTTTTCCAGGGAAGACACCAAGTGCAGGTCTATTTATTAAAGCTGAAAATAATTAAAAATAAACTTCATGTTGAAAACAGCGAAAGAACAATCCGAAAATATATAAAATTATAATAAATAAAATAAAAGAAAACTTACTTTTCAGGTTCTGCTCGTTGGTAAAGACCTTAAATAATCTTGGATGGTTGTATCCCAAGGGCACTGAGGAAATCTGGGTGTAGACATCTAGCAAAATATTTCCATCTACGTCGTGAATGTAGTTTCCAACGGACTTTTCGTAATCAGCAAAGAATTGAATGGTTCCGGTGGCCTATAAAAAAGCAATTTGTTTTAATTAATAAGTGGCCTTTGTTGCCCAAAAATAACAACACATGTGTGGTCTGATGTGCAAAAATGAAAGCGGTTCAGATAAGTGCATTAAGTAATAAATAAAACAATATACAGTTCATGTTATCAGAAAACTGATAGCTATAATAAAACTCACCTGAACAGAATCCAGGTGCTTTTTAAGCTCAATTGATTTGGGGCCAGGTATTGATTTTGTCCTCACCACTGGTTCCTTGGGCTCATTGTTGGTGGAGTACCTTTTGGTACTCAACCGACACAAGCCTAAAAAATAATCTCGTTACAATAACTGCAAAAGTTAAACATTTTCAAGTACTTACTCTGCTTGGCGAACGTATTTAGCCACAAGCTCCGCATGGTTACTCTCGAGTGCTCCGGGGTTAAGTGAAGGAATTGTTCAATCGGAAGACTAACGAATCACTAATATTTATTTACAGAATACCAACATATAAATGGTTATGTATGCGGGCTTATACATATATCCATACACTTAAGAACAATCACACACTCTCAGTTGGGAACTTGTCAATTTAGCTTTGGAAATTCCTCATGGTTCTGCGTCAATTACATATTTTCCGGTCCTTCCAAGGTAAACTAATATATCTCCTTAGACAAAATAAAATTAATACAATAAAATAAGGTTTTTTTTTAACTTTATAGAATAATAATTATTACAATGAACTTGTTTTAATTTACTTTATTAAGTTAGTTTAATTAGTTTCATCTTCTAAGTAACCTTTTCTTGGTTGGCTGAAAAAAATAACACTTAAATATAGACTTAAACGCTATTTATTTTTTCCCTATGTTTTATGTGTATATAATTTTTTAGGATAAATGAGCTAAAAAATATATATATTTATTTTTTAGGATAAAAAGGACAACATGTATTTAAATATGTTGCATTACTCTTTTATAGTAATCTTTATAACGTTTTCAGACTGTGGTTTCTCTAACTCGATGCTAGAAATATTAAATAGTAAAAAAAAAAAACAGTAAAAAACAAAATAAATAAATAATTAATTTCATCACTTAAAAAAAACATAAGATCTTTCAAACAAAAACACTTATTATTAAATTTAATATTTAAAAATAAAAGAGTAAAAAATACATTGGGAATAAGTAAAACATAAATATTTTCCCTTTTATTTTTGAGTAAATCATAAAGGGATAATTTAAAATTGGATACCTCTTTAATGTTTTATTTATAATTTTAATCTTCGAATATAATGCAGAATATACACAATTTTTAAATTTATGAACAATACAATAATAATAGAAATTGTATGTTTCAAATCAAAAGGTAATTCGTTTGAAAATAAGCTGATCTGAGATCTGAATTATACCTCTACCACTATCTTTAATTTAAAAATAATTTTGTAATTAATAAAAAAAAAATCGGAAAATAATAATAATTTAAATACAGAATAAATTTTGATTTATAAAATAATAATTAATTTTTACACAACAGTTTTGCTAATAAAATGAAATTTTAAATATTTAAAATTTAAATTTAAAAATAAAAAATTAATCTATCGTGTTTTACTTCCACTGTTTCATTACGGCTATAAATAGTTTTTCACGCACGACATTCTATCGATTGGACAAGCAAAAAATATCGATATAAAATACAATCTTTAGAAAAAATGATCGATATACTGATAATTTGGTTTTTCACATCCCTAAAAAATATATTTTTTGATTCACATCCCTAAGAAATCTATATATATATATAAACTACACGAATCGGAAATTTTTGTAATGATTGAAATGAACAAAACTGCAATTGGCATTGCAGCGGGAGTGGCTGGAACGTTATTCATAGGATACTGCATCTACTTCGACAAGAAGCGCCGCAATGACCCAGAGTACAAGAAGAAAGTCCGTGAGCGTAAGAGTATTTGACATGAAAGTTAATTATGAAAGAAACTCAACATTTCATCACATGCTAGGTCGCCGCCGCAACAAAAAAACTGGCGCTGCCAAACCTGGAATTCCAAATCTAAACGACCATGAAGCCATTGAAAGGTAGGCATTTTTACATAAAAATCATTATATTATATAACGCGGCACGTGTAGTTCTTGCCGATTCATAACATTTCCATTCATACGCGAGAATTGTGCTTAGCACGCCAGTGATGTACACATGTATGTATGAATATACATCATGTACATATATATGTAACGGAACAAATGTTTAAATGTATTTATGTTGTGTTTACCTATAGATAATTCTATAACTAGTCAGGGCATTATCATCTTAATAGATAAAACCATTGCATTATTAAATAATTGCAACAATTTTCTTGTTTCTCTAGGGAAAAATCATTATTTTGATGAGAAATTAGAGCTTTTTTATGTTAGTGAAAGGTTTTTTTTTGTATGTATATCTGGGACCTATAGATATTATATTTACATACATATTTAACTGGAATAAAATAATTTAATGATTAATTTAATATAGGCAGAGCTTTAAATTTCTTAATTTCATATGAAATTTGTGGAACCACCTGTGTCTGTTCTTTATCAGGAATCAGCTGGCTATAACATATCTCAGATAACAAAAGCATATGTTTGTTTGTCATGACTCATTATTTAAATACCTTATTATATATTATTAAATACCTTGCCTCCTTTAATGTTCAAATTAACAAAAGAAAAAGATGTTCTTACACTTAACCTACGATAAATACAATTCATTTAACAAGTGTTTTCAACAACAAGATAGTTTCTAGATGTATTATAATTACTGATGCGAATATTACATTAAAAGTCTCGTTTGGTAGAAGATTTAAAAAAAACTATAGTTTCCTTTATATTATTACAGATTTTAACATAAATTATACATATTTATACCCCTGAATGAATATTAATTCCCTTATATATATCACCTAATCCTCAACAATAATATCCTTTCAGATACTTTGTGCAAGAAATCCAACTGGGTGAAACCCTTATCGCTAGCGGTGACTTCGAGAGCGGTGTTGAGCATTTGGCGAATGCCATCGTTGTATGCGGCCAGCCGGCTCGCCTGCTGCAGGTGCTGCAGTCCTCCCTTCCAGCTCAAGTATTCGCGATGCTGATCGTCAAAATGCAAGAGTTCGGAAATCGGGCGTCGGAGGGGAACGACGGCCCCATCTCCTTGGGTTCGAGCTCGGGACAACAGCTCGAAGGCGCTAAGATAATAGAAAGCTCATCGGGTGCAATTATCGATGATCTTGAATAATACTTGGAGATGGCTACAGAAATTGAAATGTAAATTTCAACAGTAGAAATTAAGGGCTTCATATATAAACCACATATTTCTTTTTATATATTGATTTCTCTGGATGTTCCCAATACATAAAAATAAATATGCGTAAACTGTTAACACTTAATGACTGTGTTCCCGTATATGTTTTGTGTGGTAGTTACGTTTGATAGAGTGTTAAAGATCAACTTTTACCCACTTTCTCAATGAGCGGCAAAAGCAAACTCTAATCTAGTATGGCAAATGTTAATCGTTTTCAAACCAACTAATTTAAACTGCACATTGAGAAACTGAGAACTAAAAGCTGTGCTTAGCCAGGCATTTCTCCTCACATTGGATATGTTTATATATGCATAAATGTATCAACAATAAAAGATAACAAATGTTGATAAACAAAAACTATAAACGACTTTAAATTTGCCGAATGAATTTGTTGAAAATCCCAAACACAGACTAAATAGCTTATAACCTTTTTAAACAAAGCGATTTACGTTTATCGGGAATATATATATTTTATTTTTTTCTTTAAATGTTGCATGTTTTTTTTTTTTCTCTTAAATGTCGCATGCAACTTAAAGTACACAATATATTTGTAATATTATTTAACATTTGTTTCTTATTTAGTAAATGCATCGATGACATTCGAATATTTTCTTTGGTTGATGTCCATCTATAATTTTGGCCTTATAAGCATTTTCGACGACTTCAGAGTATATATGGAACCATGATACCAGTTGCCCCACCAAATACCCATTTCATTTTTCAGTTTGGTTTTTGATGCGTAATACGGGCCATTTAAATTACTGTAAATATTAAAGCAAATGTTATTCGAATGTAGTAAATTACTTAAATTTATTTAATCTAATTTCTTACCATCCCTTTTCATCGCCATACCACCACCAAAATTTCTCAGATTTTCCATTGATATTTATGGATTTGTAAGAAAAAAAAATTTTTTTCATGAATTCGCATTGCATCGCCAGCGTTTCCCGAGTATTCACCCAGGGAAAGTAACTTGTAGTCTGATATATAGTTTTCCACTTTAAAATTGTCATACCTAGCAAACGCGTTGTTGTCATCAAAGTCGACAAGCTCAATGTACAATTCGTGTCTTTTTAGGTTTGTTAAGAGACTCAATATTTCGCAGCCTATCCAGAACTCTCCATCTAAAGTACCGACTGTTTTTTCAGAGTTACCACTGAAATTCACAGTTCCATTGAACCGATTTTGAATGACCAGCCAACCGGCTCCGGCACCTGGAATGTTCTCAACCTTTAAGGGGGGGGTAAGGTTAATTCGGTGCAAAAAAGGCCACTTTTCAAAAAATTATTGTGGCGGAACGGCTAAAGTTAGCTTAATGAATTAAATACCATATAATAACACAACATTTGAATAATTTTTGATAAATTTTGTATTGAAAAATATTTAGAGGTAGAGAAGTTATAGGGAATCTCCAGAGTCGCCTCCAAAAAAAGTTGTTTTGCGGTGTACATCCTAACAGTCCACAGGATCATCCGATCTAAAAAAATTATACCTCATTCGTTAAAGGATAAGTGTCCCGAGGTATTCACGAAGCGTTTTTTTTTTTTTTAGTTTTTTTGTGATTTTTTAGGATATTTGAAAGTCAAAAACCCGATTTTTGACTTAAAAAAAAAACGTTATTTCTTAATTTAAAAATATATAAAAATTAAAAATTAAAAAAAGGCCGACGTGAATACCTGAGGAATTAGTTAAAGAATGTGTGTGCCAAATTTCAAATCGATCGGTCCAGTAGTTTTTCTGTAATCGTGTACACCGATTTGAAATATTGAATTTTTCAGGAGAGCGCTTTAAACTTTGTGATTCCCATGCATTGAACACCAACCGACCTTCGTTCAAATCCGCATAACTTCGTCAATTTCACTCTGATCGATGTAAAACTTGGACACAATATTCTTAAGATGTTAAACTTTAAAAATAAAAAATAAAAAAAAATTTACGAAAAAAAAAATTAAATACCTTACCCCCCCCTTAAGGCAAACGGATCGTGAATGTTTGTTTCAAATAATATCAAGGAAGTGTTTGGGTGGTTGAGGAAAACCATAGGAGTAATTTGGTCGTTTGGCTCAACAGATTCTTGAGAGTTTGAGAAGATTTCCAGTTCATGTGTCAAGACTTTAATTTTGGCCTCAAGCTCTTCTATTTTCTGGTCTTTTTCTTGTATGATACTTTCATACTTTTTCTTTTCCTTAATAAAGGATTCGAGATATAATATTTTTTTCTGCAGAGATTCATTTAATTTCAATATTTCCGAGTCTGGTGATAACTGTACGAAATTCTGATTAGAAGCGGAAGTAAACCCGTCTACTTTTGGTACGAGCAATGTTTGCATCTCCGCAACTCGATGATTCATTAACTTTGAGACTTCAGCGATTAAATTAATGGAATTGTTTAGGGACTTGATGAGATCATCTTGCTGTTTGCATTTTTCCTGGTAGTGCCTTAATTTTTCCTCCAGATCCAGAATTCGGGTTTTATTTGCTTCTATTGTTTGCATTAATTCATTCATATTTACGTTTGAACAATGTATAAGTATATTTTCAGTCGCAGAACTGCTGGTTAGCTGTTTCATAAATTTAAATACATTTGCTAATAGTACGGATGCGGTTAAAGTGCTATGTACCTTAATAATCAGCAGCAGATATTGATAAATATATATTTGCTCAGATTTCACAAATCCACCAAATACTGAATTCTTAATCAGCTTCAGCTGCTTCCTATATGTTTTATCGATAGAAATACAAACATCTCTCCGTTTCCGTTATGCTTTTTAAATTGAAAACCACTAATTTGCCAGCAAAATTAGTTCGGAGTTAAAAATGAAAACCGGTATTTGCAAAATGTAGAACAATTCGGAATGAATAGCGCCAGTAAACGAAAATTTGATGAGGTGTATGAAACTTTTTAAATCCTTTATAGTACTATAAAATGTTTAAACGATATTCGGTATATCCTTTTATATTTCCTTTTATAGATAAAAGATTTTGGAAATTTATAGCAGTCTAGGCTAGGAAATAATTATAACTGTAATCTCTTCAAATAAATCATGGCCATTTTTTATTTTTTAATCAATAAAGGCAATATATTGAGAACAGGGTACTTAACTTGCACAAAGATTTATTATTTTATTTTATGATTGCCCTTTAAAATTAATTTAATTAATTTATTCCATTACATTAAATATAAAATGATATGACTCGTAAGGCAAAAGGTCAATTTAAGTCTAACGACATTCTGTAAGTCTTGAAAAATAGGGCAATACCTTTCACAGTCCTGTTACTGTGTACAGATTTTAAATAACATACATGTTTTGGTGGTTTTAAGGACTACATCCTTACTGTTAAAATAAAGGGAAATAAATGGAAGCACTAACATTCACGCATAGCTCTATGCCTGTAATTTGATAAGGGGAAATAGAGTTTTTTTAACCTTCAGTCAACCGTGTATGAGTTCTATGTTGCAACAGGATATCATACTCGAGGGTTGTGCTACAACCCGAAAGGACCTCGGTTCGAAAGGACCTGCCTTGGCCAGAAGAGTCGCGTTTGCGAAATATCGAAACAGTTGAATTTCTGTTCTCATTGGCTGCGGTTTATGTTGGTTAAAGTCGCGGTATATTGTGCAATTCGGTAGTTTGCAATTGAAAGAAGTGTATGTTTCAATCAACAGCCGCGCTATTCTTTTAATATGACTCCCAGGATACGCGTCAGTATGCGATTCAATAAATATTTCTATGCCAACACGCATTTCCAGTGCTAGTGATGTCCCCCTGTGAAATACAGAAATATGTACGTATACGTATTGTGTGTACACGGTTCACTACATTAATATGGTTTATAAAAAATAAGTGTAAATGTGCTTAAATATTGCATAATCGTGAGTGCCGAAAGTCCCGAAATCCCTTAAATCTAACAAATACCAGTGGATTGTGCAACAATAAGAAATACCCCTAAGAACCAAACTGTGCCTCATATTTAGTTGGTTCTAAATATTTGTTGAAAAATCACAGCCATTACAATACGGATTATACTAAGGAGTGAAGGATTCCAAGTTTAAGACTTGACAGGACTACTTGTTCTTGGATTGAAAATAAATATTTTAAACATTATTTTGTGGCTGTTTCTATTTGTTAAGAATCACAGCCATTACGGATCATACGCAATGAAGGATTTCAAGTTTTGTGTCCTGTCAGGACTTTACTCTGATCTTGAAAAGAAATAATTTGGTAGATTTTTAACCGATGTCCATAAAATAGCTTTTCAAATACATACATAGACCACACATATCTTTACTTTTTGTGCGTTTTAATCCACGTAAAATATATTTTATTTACGGTAATTATTTAATAGGTTTTTAGTTACAATTATTTCTATGTACAATCAACGTTTTTTGTTATTAGCTTATTTTATTTTATTGTTTGTTTATATTATTTATTTTTATATTATCTAATCTGAATCATAGAGCATGTTATTGCCCAATTTATCAGAGGTAGTAAAACTTTAAAAATAAATTTATGAGAACAGGGGCAAGCCAAGTTAAAATGTATTTATGAAAGTTGTGCGTGTATTTTTTAAAATTCTATTTGCCACTGTATTTGCCTAGGCAAGGGGACCAAAAATAGTGTTATTTTGGATGTTATGTCTCGTTCGTAAGTTCGTTTAAATACGCGCCCTTGTAGATCGCAGACCACTTAGTTATCGATCAATGCCGATCTAGTCTATCGATGTTTTGTATCTGTGTGACCGTATCAGCAGTGTTGCGAAACAAATCAAATTGTTTGTGGAAGAGAGCGGGAGGGAGGATCGTAGTTAAATAAAATAAAATAAATGTGTATTCCGTGGTAGTGCTCTAGAATTCTGTGATGAATGAAAATATATCTAGGGGCATGTGTGCGGCTCGAAATTAACGAACAACCAACGAAAACACCGAGTATTACTCATTTCCACCGAAGTTGTTTGCGCTGAGGGAGCAACTTTTTATTGTAAAGGTATACCTTTCACACATACAAATGCATCTCTCCGTATGTTGGCCAAACAATTTTTTAAAGATTTACCTCCGACCGTGTTTTATGTATTAAACCGAGTTTTA